TCTAATGGAGAAGTATACACATGGGAAACAAATACTTCGACCAACTTTTATTCGATTTGCAACTCATTTCATTCAGTTTGAAGAGATAACAAGACAAAAGCAAGGTCTAAGAGATGTTTAATTTAAATATCAATATTTCATAATTAGTTACATAATTACTTAAATATAGCAACCGTCAATGATTTTATTAGTTTTAAATAATATAAATTATATCATTTTAACTTTTTTTCTTATGAATATATAAGAATTTATTTTCTATTAATATTGGGCAAGTAGAAGGTAGTATAAGTTCAAATATAACTCTCAATCATTTGACATTGAACACTCACACTCTTAAAATTCATGTTGCTCTAACTTGGTACCACAAAGAATAACAATAATTATAAATAAATTAAAGAATCAAAATGGAGACCACAAAAAACATGGCCCAGTTATGAAGCCAAATTTTTTTTTTGAGAAAATATTTTGAAAAAAAGACAAGTGACACCATAAAAGTTTAGGATTAGGAGCCCCTAGTGAAAGTATTGATTCTTGTATATATTGATGAAAAATCAATTATGCATTTTGACTTGTATTCTGCTAGTAAGATTAAATATTTCATAAAATTAGGAATTATTTTAAATTTTTATAACTTTTATATTTTATTATTTATATATATTATTATTTTATTATAGATGGAATCTTATCATTTTAAGGTTTAGGTTATTACTATTATTTAATTATATTCTTATATATTATGCTTAGGTTATTTTCTCATTCCTTAGTTTCAGTTTGGGTGAAACATTATGAAAATGTAGTGATAGAAATATTAGAGAGTACAAGATCCGTAATTGAATGATGCCTTCTTTTGATATGTAAGTTAAAATGGTTAACCATGTTAGAATCAAGTATTATTATTATTTATAACTTATTTACAAAATTTGAAAATGCATTTTTCTTCCTTTTTTTACTTTATCTTTTATTTATGCAGTTGTTATTATTTCGAGATAAACTTGAGACATTCGGTACTCCACAAGCACAAAATTTTTTAGAAACTAATGAATTCAGGTAAATATTTACCTTAATTAATTTATATTATTTAATTATATTGTACCCTTTTTAATTTATTTTGAAATTTAAATACCATTTTATAGCTCACTGGTGTATAATATATGGCACATGTGTTCATGAGTAATGAAGATTAGCAATTAAAATGCTTAGTCAAACAACTTAAATGCACCGAATTTTTTTTTTATATTTTCAACCTTCATATGGTTATCCACAACCATATGATTATTATTCATCATTTTTAATTATGATGTCCTATATCAACCTTAAATGCATCCTCCACCATCAATGTATCACTCACATCCACCTCTCATGTATCCTCCTCGGATACACCCTCCACATCAGTTATGGAAATTAAGGTGAAAATGTTCTTTTATATGTATACTTTTGGACAAAGGCTAAGAAAATCAAGTCAAGAAGGCTTTCAAAATGAAGGTGAAGGATTTGAGCCTCCTCGTTATTTAAAATTCTTCCTCTACCACTTTTTGTAAGGTATGTTTTTTTAAATAAAATTTTCATTAATAATTTTTAATTTTAATAATATTAAAACTTTATATTTTCCTTCTCAATTTTAATGTTTGTTGTACTATTGTCATTGTTGCAGTAAATTAGATTTTCTCATATTTGTTTTCAAATTATTCTACTTCAATGAGTATAGAGTCAAGTTGATTCCATGCATTTCACTTAAATTATGTCCTTCAACTTTTCAAATGCATCCCAGGGAAGTAATTTATTATTTTATAATTTTAAGATTTCAATAAATATTTTTTTTCAACATTGGAAACTTTATGCAACCCTCATTCCATGTTGATCCCAATTCTAAAATTTGTGTGTCTCAAATAACTATCAAATTATTTACCTCATCTCTTCAATTCAATTATTTTTCAAAAGTTTTGATAATTTTACTATTTTCAAACTTGTTAAAAAAGTGATGACCTATGACTTTTAGTTATTGTATTGATATTTTATCGGTCAAAACTTATAAATAATTAAAAGTTTATCAACACTTTATAAATAAATACAAAAATATAATTAATGATTTTAAAAATTGTGTTCATGTATTAACAAAAGTTTATAAGTGTTAGAAAACACTCTAAAAATCATTAAAAGCAATTTTTATAATTATAATTGCTATATTTTATAATAGGTTTTGTGAATTAAAAAAAATTAGCATCTGCAATACCCATAGTTAGGGATGAGCAAAACTCCACTACATTCAAAAAAAAATTTACTAGACTAGATTTGGAAAAAAAATTAACTCAAATTGACTTCGAATTGTAATTTCATAAACTAAACTCGAAAAATTTTAAGTTCAAATCGAGTTGTAAAACCAACTCCATTAACTCAAAATTTTTAGTAATTAGTGGATTGATTACTTAGAAATGTTGAACAGGTCCGACGCCATATAGAGGCAGATGCTACATTTCGGAATTGTTGTGTAATATCCCAAACATCGGGTCAGTGACTAAAGTGTAAGGATTTAAAATTTAGCGGTTTAATTTTTGTTAAATTAAAATGTTAAAGGATTGATTTGGGAATTTTTGTTTAAAATATATTATCAAAGATAGAAGGATGGAACGACAAAATGGTCTTTTGGCATGAAATGAATTTAAAATTAGGTTATATAACATGTGAGGAAAAGGAAAGAAAGGCCTAGAACTTTTCTCTTCATCTTCTCTTCTTCCTTTTTCCACCGTGAACCTCCATGCTAAGGTTAGTAATCTTAAAGTTGGTTGTTTCTTGTATTTTTTTAAGTTGGTTTTGAGATTTTGGTTGTATAGAAGCTTAAGAAAGCTTAAAGATGACTAAAACTAGGAGATTGATGAGTTAATAATAATTTGGTAAAATGGGTTTTTAAGGGAGTTGATGAAATTTGGTTAGTATTTGGATTTTAAAGGTATATTTGACTTGACAAAGGTTTGAATAAAATATTTGAAGTATTAGAAAGGGTTGGAAACAAGTTTGAAGAATGGGGTTGATTTTTAGTTTTAAATGTTCTAGTGAAAATTTTGGATGTTAAAGGGAATTTAATTGATATAAGTTGGTTGTGATAAGTGTTATTGAGTTTAAGGGCATAAATGAAGTTAGAAGTATGAGATTTAGGTGAGTTTTTGGGTAAAATTCGAAGTGAAATAAGTGAATTATGGGCAAGGGCATCAGTACTGGAATAACAGTACCGATACTATAAGGTTAAATGGAAGGAAATTATATAAATCAAATGAACAATATTGATACTGTATGAGTGGTATTGATACTAGGGGTATCAATACCAATAGTATGGTACCGATATTGTAATTAAAAAGGAAATTCTATAATACAATTTGGGTATCAATACTGAAGTAGGTATCGGTACCATAGAAGGGAAGTATCGATACTGGGTTTAGAGTATCGATATTGTTCAACCTGAAATTGTGAATTAGGTGTTTATTTAGTTATGTAAATATTGATTGGTTAAGAATTAATTGTGCCTTGATATTCATTTTGGTCATGTTAACATGTAGATTCGATCGAAAGCAAGTGTTGAACGAATTAGCGTATAAAGATATTGAGCGAAATTGAAAAGGGTTTTGCTTAGGGCTTAAGTGAGGAAAAGGTGAGTGCAACTTACTTATTTACAATTGGAGGACGGCTTACTATAAGCCAACCTAAAATGTTTTTGAATAAAAGGATTTGCATTATGTTATAGTTTTAGATAAATAGTATTTTTAAAGCACTGTTTTAATTCCTTTGCTATGAGTAATTATTCTATGTGAACAAATGATAATTTGAATAATACTATGTAAAATAATTAAATGGTTAAAGCCCAAAGTATGTGTTATGAGATTTAGAGGTATAATTGGCATGCCAAGAGTCGAGAGTTCTATGCGGTCCTTCGGGACAAATCTATGTGGCACTTTATGCATATTCTACATGGCACTTCGGTGAAAATTCTAAGCGGCAATTTCGACTGCAATTACAGTGCACAACATACCTTGAGTTCTCAGTGATATGCGTTGGGTTATTTAAACAAGTTAATATGAATTGAACGGTGAATAACAATATAAGTATATTTTTTATGAAATGTATCTTGTTTTTAGTATTAAATGTTCTCCTAAAATGTTAAGAAAATGTTTAAAGTTTTAATTTACTCATTTATGTCTCACTAAGTCAAAGACTTAGCGTGTGAGTGTGAAAACAAATAGGTTCAAAGAAGTCAACAGAGTAAGCCAGGGCAGGACAACATATCTTTGAAGAATATCATATTTGAATGATTTGAATAGTATGTGATTTTGTTATTTGAAATTTTGTTGGCATGTACTATAAATGTTTAGATCATAAATGCTCTAATATGTCTTGTAACTATGCTTTATTAAGGTTTTGTAAAAATATTCAGTATTTTTTTTTCGTTGTCAAATATTAAGTTGATCTTTAACTAGTGTTAACGAGGGCTTCGCCACTCAATTAAAAGTAAAAAGTACAATTTTTGTCGGATTTTCAAAGAGTCAAAGCGTTGAAAAGTCTATGTGACACTTTAGATTCGTATCCGGGTCGGGTATGGGTCGGGGGTGTTACATGTTACGCAGCAGTTGAAGACATAAGTCATATTTTAAGAACCTGCCCAATAGCATATACAATATGGAAACAATTAATAGAGCCAAACAAATTGGATGATGTTAAAGAATATCAAAGAACAGAAAACTTGAGAAAGAAACTTATTGTATTATCAAGCTCGATCTATTGCACGGGGAGCTTCTGTCTTATTCATCTGTTTCCTTATCTCACTTAGTTTACCTTCTTCTGTTGTTTCATGTGAATCTACATCAACTGTTGACACTAGTACTAACTGAGTTTCTGCTTCATCACTTTGGCTTTGCTCCATAGCACCACGTATACTACACACACGATCATCAATCCTGCTATGATACTTCCTTAGTAGAGCTTAGATAGTGATTCAGTCGTTTCTTTGTGGAATTATGGGATCTGCTTTGTTGGTGTTCTTGGTTTCATGGGCATTTCGTTTGATGGGTATTTTGTATGCGTCTATTTTCAACCCCTTGGTGCTTGTCTTTGTTTCCATTCTTGGATTTTTGTTGCTCGATGAAAAACTCTACTTAGGAAGTATCATAGAAGGATTGATGATGGTGTGCGGAGTATACGTGGTGTTATGGGGCAAAGCCAAAGAGATGAAGCAGAAAAGTCAGTTAGTAGCAGTGCCAACAGTTGATGTAGATTCACATGAAACAACAGAAAAAGATAAACAAAGCGAGATCAAGGAAACAGACATGGAAGCTCTATTAAGTATGACTCATAAATATACCGATAAAGAGAATAGAGGATGGAGCGGAGCATAGCGAACGTAGATAATATCATCTGTCCTTACAAAAAAAATCTCGCAGTACGTTACAGGGTTATTTTTGTAAATATGTATCAGAGTTTACTTATTATAAAGGAGATGTAACCAAAACCTATAAGAAAATTGAATGAAAAATCTAGCGCCGCTCAGGGTATCGAGGACGTAAGCACATTATTGAACCTCGTTAAAAATTATTGTGTTCTTTTCACTTTCTTTACCTGATTATTCAACACCATGCAATAGTTCTAGATTGATAATACAAGAAGTTTCTTTCTCCATCTTTCTATTCTTTAACAGATGATTTCTTGACATGCGAACTGCACCCATGGATTGCAAAGAATCTGTTAGGCTCAACATATGCTAACAAGGGAGTTGAGGATTGACCAACTTTCATTAATGCTGTATTATGGGATAAAAGGAATAGATCGGGCGGGGCGGGGCAGGTTTTTGGCCGCCCCGATCCCGAGCCGAATACGTATATGTAAAATCCAATCTCGCCCCGTCTTGAGAAATTGATTTTTTCCCAACTCAATCAGACACAATCCGAATATATTACTATTTTTAAATAATTAAATAATATATTTATAATTATTTATTATATTTAAACTGTTAAATTAATATATTTTAATAAAATAAAAAAATTCTTAAAATATTAATTATATATATATATATATATATATATATATATATATATATATAACCGGGTCGGATCGGTGAATTTTCATCTTAAACCTGATCCCGTCCCGCCCCAAATTTTTTCACTACATAACCTGTCCCGTCCCGAGTCCCGAAAATTCAAAAAACAAACCGTCCCTATCAGGTTTGATTGGATCGAGATTCGTCGGGTTTAGGTATTTTGAACATACCTAATCGGGAGGCCACGTACAAAACCATAACCCAGTAAAATCTTTGAATTTTTTTATAGATCAAATATCTCCAAACACACACACACATATATTTTCAATACTAGCCAAATGTGTAGAATCCAGATAATTTTCAATTTTGAAGTGAAAAATTATTTTCGACCGTTTATACTAATTAAAATGGTTTAATGGGTTAAAGCAGTTGAGCCAGTTGATTGTATTAAAATATAATCAAATAAGTAATATTAATACAAAATAAATATTGAATATAAAAATGATTGTCCCTTGTTTCTATATGTAATAGGGTAAGGGGGAGGTAAGATAGTAGACTGCCTCCAACACTAGGTTGAGAGCAGCTTCAATAGGATACCTCCAAATTATGAAATGTCCTCCATGAGACTCGATCCCACAACCTCAAGGTTAAGAATCTTGTACTCTACCAACTAAGCTAGATGGTCAATATCACAGTGCAAAATTTAATAGCAATATATGCTAAAACTATACATAAATGCTATATATTTTCTTTATCGAAATATGTAGTGATTTTATGTAATTACATAAAATCAAAGTTAAATCTAAAACGTTAGCACAATTTGATCTAACTAAAGAAGACTGATCTCCTACATTACTATTTTCAAGATCAATTCTTTACATGAATAATCTTTAAAAGATCAGCCTCTCATTTAAGCATGTAGACTAAAAAATATGGAGGAAACAGTTTCAAATTCATATATATATATATATATATATATATATATATACGGTTTGCCTCTCTCATTGACCATTTTGGTCTTCTAGCATCCTTGTGTTTTCCCCCTCAATATTCATCCAAATAAGTATACAGCATATCATCTTTCTTTGGTTTCCGACGACTGAAAAATGCTTTGAGTCTCTTACTTTTGGTGGGAATTTGTTCAATGCCTTTGGTGTTGTCTTCCTCAGAATCAACAGCCGATTTCCGAGGCACTGATGGATACTACCAATTTAAACCAAATTAAAGTTAGAATATATAGCTCATAGGCATCCTTAACAGAGTATGAATTGTCAAAGATGCGCTGCAATGCTTCATTCATAGACTAAAGCATATAAATGAAACTACTTTACACTCACCCGTCGCCTCGCACCAGCCGAATTTGGAGTAACTGACCGGCTCTTATTCGGGGTTATAGGCCTGCTATCAGACCCACAACTCAAGCGAGGAAATCGATGAGGCGATACCGTTCCCTTCTCTGATTATACGTATAAACATCATTACATCATTAATGAGCACAGACAAGCATTCATAAGTCATAAACGAAAACAATTTTAAGGAAATAGGATGGTAAAAGAGAAAGAGAGTATATCAACCTAGTTCTTTCTTCTGCGTGGTAGCAGTAAAGGAAAATGTTGTCGATCTCTGTTGAGGCCGAGGAGAAGGTGATGGAGAACGTCCTCTTCTGCAGCAACCATTACTAGAAGTTGGCATTCATGCTCTAAATATACAACTAAATAACTATGGTCTATTAATGCATTTCACCAGAAATGTAATGGTGATCTTTACCTGATTGAAGATGCCGGGGTTTCCCTGACAGATTGCGGCGGTCGGGCTTCCGTAATTGTAGCTCGAACAGCTTTAGAGGAAGGATCGAGTTAAATTGGAACCTTATCCAAAAGATAAGAGATGATGCAAATGGATAAACAAAACAACTACCATTCCTAAACCGATGGCAGTTATCCTCCCTGTCTAGACCGCATCCTTGATATTTTGACTTGGTTTGATTCGCATCATCCAAGGTCTCCCCAACTGGGATTTGATCAAAGACATTAAAAATAGCCAAATATTCGTTCCCGGTTATTGCAACAAAACGGAAAAAGGCAATAGAGTAGAGTCGGGTAATTGCCTGGCAAGATGTAACGTTTATGGTACTTTGGTGTTTTAATCATCGACAACTGTTGGGAAATTCCTTCATGGTCAATATATTCTTGGCATTTTCGTACTCTCTGCATTGCCACATTCAAGTAAGGAAAAGTTCAATACTTTGTAAGCCTATAACGGGAAAAGCTAGAATCAAAGTTGTCTCACCAAGAAACGTAAAGAATCCAACCTTACCTCTTCGACACAAGATACCCGAAGCTCTGTTCCAGAAACCTCATCAACCTTTTCTTCCAAAAAATCGTTGACCTTGTATGTCATAGAACCTAGATGATCAACGGTGTTCACAATGGCTTTTACAGCATAATCCTTTAATGTTTCCACCACTCTGCATATACATGACAATCTTTCTTCACAATCAGAAATAGGAGAAAATGGAAGTAACTAAACTTGAACAACGCTGAAAGAAATGAGCTATGACGAATTCGAGTGACTCACATCTGCTTATGGTCATCATTAATGTAGGACAGCTCGAAATACTCAGCTGCTGAGTAGAGTTGTGTTCTCAGTGTTTTCAAATCCTAAACCAAAAGAACTCTGTGATAAAACCATGGATATGAGATATAAATGCATTATCTAGCAGTAAAGTGTCGACTCTTTGCATATCACACTCGGCTGATATGGGTGGCGGATTAGCAACCTCTGAGAACATCCACCACTTGAAATATTAAGACAAAACCACCCAAATTAGGCAGTGATTTAACTTAAATGCTGGTGCAATCAGTTTGGCCATCAAAATGCTAAGCATGCAGTCTAGAAGTACCAAATTACAACCAGGATATCGAAGAAAAGAAACAAAACAAAGATTTCAAGTTTAAGGAAGATCCTATTCTTTCAAGCCTAAGAAGTAAACACACAAAATATCAATATCTCTCGTACCTTGAGACTCTCAGAGAATAACAAGCCCTGCTGCATAGAAACCTCTTCATAATCAGATTCTTCTCGAGACATTGGCATTGCTGCAACGAGACAGGACCGAGTATGCCTTAACATGTATAATCAAGATAACCAAATTTATTTCAACCAAATGGGGTAAAATGGAGAGCAAGAAAAATACCTCATCTAACATCAAACAAAAAGTATAGAAATCATATATTAAACAGAAAATCTTATTGAATCTTGAGGGACTTTTAAATAAGAACCACAACAATATGAAAACACCAAGCTTGAAACTTGTAGACTGAGTGAGACACTTCAAAACTAAGTTACAACTAATAAGATACAAAAAAGCAATTATTCCAACCAAATGCAATAAGAAAACGAATAATAAAAGACAGAAAACACTTTGCCAGTTGCTGCACTTCTGCAACTACCCAGAAATAAAAATAAGAGAAAAAAACAATTCTCATACACAAAATCGACAGATAATAAACTAAAATACTTGATTGTGATACATAGGAGAAACCCCATTTTGTCTGTGAATCTTCAGCAATACTCTAAGTTCATTAAACATTTAAAAAGTAAAGGAAACTCTAAAAGCTGGAAATTTTCTATGCCCTTTCTTTATTTGCAGAGACAGCCAAAGAACAGTGTATGTTGAGATACTTCCCAGAAAGTGTGGATGTCATTTCAGCTGAACCAAGGCCAAATAGGTAAATGGCCTTATACCAGACTCAGCCGAGTGAAACAAACTGTAGGCCTTGTCGGGTCGTCTCCTTCCCTTTTTTTCTCAGCGTTTCAACATTTAAAAGCTCAAAACTAACCAAAATAGAAAGTGGGTTCTCAATTAAAAAAAAAAGCTAACCTTCTTAGACAATCTTCTTGTTTTATTCCCACTTCTAACGGAGCTGAATTTGTAAAAACCGAGACCCACTTCCAATTCAACCTTTAAAAAACAGCACAAGTTGAGAAAAGCATTAAGAAAACGACAATATCAATCGGCACTGTGAGCAGCGCAAAAGGCAAAAACTTGCAGTCCTATTCGAGGAAGAAGCAATTGACAGCCAAGTTATGTACTTATAGGCTCATTGCATGTCTTGCTGTAGTTGATTTTGGCAGCTACGTTGAATGAGCGTTCCAGTGGGACCGATTTGCTTTGCAGCAGTAGATTATTTTTCTTTTTCTGGTCGAATGGGTCCCATTTTCAAGCAGAATCACATGACTCAACAAAGTTTCACCCCTCTAACTCGGCCATTAACAAGCAACTTGAGTTCGATTCGACTTAGAAACTCATGAGTTTAAAATTTTAAGTTCGACTCCAATTTAAAATTATGAACTGAAACT